CACCAGTCAAAATAAGGATTAACCACAGAAGTCTTGCAGAACTATTCCATCTCATTTCATTACAAAGAACATTTGAACAGAAATGATGGGAAAAAAAAAGTCACCAATGAACTATTGCTTTAGGTCACGCAGAAGTCAGCTCTCAGGTGTTCACTACTTTATACTGATGTACAAAAGCACTCATGACTCTTCTGTCACTATTTAACATGAAACCCCGGGCATATGGAGCTTCATGCTATTACTATTTTCATCACATATACAATCCATTTCCTTTTCAGGTACTTGTTTAGAGTGTTATAGTTTTTTTTTTTTTTTTAAGTTTAGTTTTTATTAAAACTTCCAGATGCTGAATTAATGTAAACACATAGGAATCTTTAGCCTGAGATATACTGTTCTACAATAAGACTAATCTGTGTACACAAGGACAGTTACTATTAGTCCAAGGTGTCTATATGCTTCTAGGTGAGCATCGCCTTACCAGAAGCTTTAATGGTTCATCCATCTCTGGTGAACTAACCTGTATGAAGTGCCTGCACTGTGGCATGTAAAGGACAAGATCTTTAAAATACTTTTCTCCCAACCAAGATAACACGTTAAACAGGCAAAAAAGCAAAGACTATATGGAACATAAGCAGGAATTATAACTTCCATTTTTTTCCCTTCAACTAAGCATTCTGCACGCTATTTAAATAAATAGGAGGAAAAAAAAAAAAAGACTGCATATGACTCAATAACTGCTAGGATACTGACAGGGAACACTGCAGAAGTTTTTCATTTGAGATCTTATTAACAGACAGAGGCAATATAGAGCTCAACAGTTAAACAAAAAAATATTGGCAGCTGAATCTTAAAAGTCACTTTATTAATTCTTTAAACCTATTTATCTTGAAGGTGAATTAAAAAAGAAAGTTTAGGGCTATAAACACAGATCCTTAGCAGTTACCATTCTTTTCTAAATTTGCCTTCAATTACTGTAAATTTTCTGTGCAATTAATAGATTACAATCATTTTAGCACACAAATGCAATTAGTCATAATATAAGAGAAGAAAGAAACCAAGAGTATTTAAATGGCAGATTACTGAAGTATTTCCTTTATTTAACAATGTGAAACAGAAACTGAAAAAAAAAAAAAAAACCAAAACCACTCCACTAAGGAATTTTTGGTATGCAATCTTTCTGCAGCACTTTATAGGTTATTAATTTCACAAAAAGAATGAATAAAAATTATTCAGAAATTAAGCCTTATTTGTTTTCCCAAAAGTACTCTGCTTGAAAGCTTCCATTTTTCTGTTCCTTCAGTTTCCCTTCTGAAGTACTTAACCATGGGTAAGCTATCGCTCACAGTTAGAAACAGCTTTTCAGAATCAGAAATAGCACTGTACTCACATACAAATGCTCAATCTATGCTTCTATAAATACCGAAGAATTACACACGTAAAATGTTCCTCTTAACTGAAAAGGGCTGTAATTCATCATTAATACTATCAATCGTAATTGATGAGCACACACAGCAGAGAATTTATTGATGGAATGAGATGTAATAATGGAGTAACAATGACATTGACTGATTCACTAAGACTCTGAATCTTACCCAGGGTATAAAGATAGCAGTGAAATCAACAGAATTTCTCATGGATTCTTCTGGATTACTAACTGAGGCCTTCCTGGCACTCTTGCGAATTTCATACTTTACAGGAGCATTCAGGGCATGTCAGATTCCTAGTCCTTGTTAGAAAGCCAGAAAAACCAGTGGTCGTTGGCACAACAACAGTTGTCATGCTCCTGTAGTAAAGAACTTGATAGACATCAGTCCTTCCCAGACAACCAAGCAAAACTAGGGCAATGTCTGATGAAGTAAAGAGACATGTAGAGTTAGTAGCTGATAAATGGGAATGTTAGGGGCTTCAGCAGTCAGGATTTGTGCTCTGTCCAGAGATCCTGGCAGCCTTGAACTGCTCTTATACCACCACTGTAGCCGTAGCAGAACTAACATGCATACTAACAGCTACCTACGTTTTTACCACAAGTTGTATTTACATTGCTAAGTGCAATGTAAGAATTCTTTCATATATACACAAGACAATATTAATACTTGCTGAAAAGAAAAAAGCAGATGAAAGATCTGCATTTGTTTACAGTTTTCTTAATTTTAATGTAAATTAAGCATATTCTTCATCAAGGCATGCCTTAAGATGTATTCATAGAGGAAAATAAATTAATAGAAAGAGCCTTTAGTTGAAATGCTGATTTCACGTCAGAAAGATGGCATGACATATCAGCTCTAATAAAGCCAGTTTCGTTCCTTAACACATACTGTTCCCTCTCCTGTCATTGTTACATCTGATTCACTGAATGGGCTACTTCAGAAATGGAAGCAATAAAACTTTGAGTTCTTCATTCCTAAAGTGCCTAAAAAAAAAAAACATATCACTAAAAATTAGCTTTGTTCCCCCTCCCCCCCCCCAAAGGTGAATATTTACATTCATTTTTCTATATTTCAATCACTGGCTTTGAAGTAATGCAAGAACATTATTTAGAGAAAAACAGAAGTGATTGGGATGTTGAACAAAATATCTTCAATTTCAGTATGCCTATTCAGTACTGATGAGCAGTATGTTAAATACAAGTCATTAAATGCTCCCTTCTGCTTTTGTGTAAATCGGGGCTTAGATAACTGGAACTAATTGGCTATCTTTCCTTTTCTAACAACAGTATAGCAATTAGCTGCTTCTGCAAGTTTCCATCATGTTTCCTCTACTGATTTGTTGCACTCACATATCAAAACCAACAAAGATTCTTAGAAATTCCTTTAAAGTTTCATATCTGCTTGGAAAGATTGAAATTATTGAAACATTATTAAAAACAAGCTCCAAATAAAACAACAAAATAGTCTGTAATAGAGGAGTACTTCCAGCACTTTTCCAACTCAGAAAAAAAAAAAAAAAAAAAGACTAAATATGATAGCACACAAAATATTTAATTAACTTTTTAAAATCATTCTACAAAAGTCACAGCAGTCAAAGAATTACCAAGATTCCAGAAAACTTAGATTTTTTATATAGGGTTAATCTACAGCAACAGTGGGAATAGGATGAACAATTTATCTGGAATAGGATGAACAATTTATCTGTGTCAAAAACCATTTATCTAAGTATCTGAGAAAAGCAAGAAAAGGCAAGTCCTACAAGGAAAGGCTCAGGATGTTTGGGTTGCCCTGGGGAAGCGTAGGCCAAGAGGTAACCTCAATGGTCCCCGCAGATTCCTAAGGAGAGGAAGCAGAGGGAGATGCCAGGCTCTGGGGCTCTGCTCCTGGGAAGTGATGGTTAAGAGCAGAATGACACAAAGCTACTCCATGGAAGGGCCATGGCACAGTTGGGTATAGGTGCAGAAGCCGATCAGTAAGACCACAGCAGAATTTCAGAGAAAACTGTGTGTAGCCTACTAGACCTTGCTGTGATGGTCAAAACTGATAGCAGTTCAGCCCCATATCACATGCTAATTTAGAGATTTTAACGAGGTACAGAAAAAATATGGCTACTGAACAAATTAGCTTTAGAAGAATTATGTCTCCCAAGATTGCTTTGTATTTTTGCCATTGGTAAGAAACAATACTTTACAACATTCTTAATAGAGCTAGAAAGCATTATCTCTTTTCAAGACAAGAAATCAAGACTCTGAGAAAATTAAATACCTGTGAGAAAACTGGAAATTCAAGTTAAATTTATGGACTTTCAAACTGCTGCCTTAATTACAGGCCAAACCACCCTCTTCCAGTAACTTGCAAGTATTCAGATACAGCTAGAAAAGCAGGATCATTTATCCAGAGTCTGGACAAAGAGTGGAGAGCTAAGCTCTATCCCAGCTACAACAAAGATTTCTCTAAGGACTTCTACATGCACACTGAGTCTGGCTATGATGGGGGTAATTTTCTTCACAGCAGCCTGTCTGCTGTGTTTTGAATCTCTGACTACAACAGCATTGAGAACACATTGATGTTTTGACTATGTACTCACACAACCTCAGGGCTTTTTCCAGCAAGTTGGTTAGTCTGGGCAAGAAGTTCAGAGGAGATTCAACTGACAGCTGACCCAAAAAGATGATTACAAGTGTCATATGGATTCAGTTATAGAAGTATTTTGAGAGAGGTGTTGATTGTCATTTGACAGTGGATCAAGACAAAATGATTTATTTTATGATAGTAGATTAGCTGTTGTAAAATAATGACTTTGAAACACTGATTATGGTAGAATTTAGCGATAGTTTCCCTCCTGTCCCTTTAAATAAATTCATCTTATGCTGAATAGCTATAAATTGTGTTAGAAAAGAAAGACTCAAATCTAAACGCGTTCCTGTGACAGAAAGAGGAAAATAAACCCTTGCATATATCGCCTACAACACACGAAGGTACATTAAAATTATGTTACTGAATAACAAAGTGTCCTTCAATTCATCTGCAAATACAATTTGCTTCCATTGCCACATCATTTTAGATGGTCAGAATGAAGCAGCTATAGCATAAGTAAGACTAAGAGGCTAGATTTCAACAATGGCAATAGGGTCATTTGCATTCTTATTCCTAATATAACTCAGATATTCCTTACAGTTATAAGTACTTGGCTCAGATTTTATCCACTGACTGAAAGACAATTTTGCTTCAGCTGTGTCCTGTGTTTGGAAACCAATGCTTTTGTTTATATTTGGATACAGTATCACAAATGATTTCAACATGAAAAATATTGTGATTAAATTTTTGCCTATTTCTTAGCGTAATTATATAGCTATGAGCATTCAACACATTATTTCTATGTTCACTTAGTTATTTTCAGAGAGATGGTATTTATCTTTGTTCTGACCCCTCAGTTCAGATTATGTCCTTGTGACATGCTGTATTCAAATACAGATTGTTACAATTCTTTTTAGCTGACTTAAAAGAACGAATGACCACACGAGGAAAAATAAACAAATAAAACTCTTAAACTTGCTCTGAACTAAAGCATACCTGAACGCATAGCATCTTTTTGAATACTTTCATAATCGTGCCAATCCTTCCTTTTCAGTCCATCAGTCCAGGTGAACAACTGCCCATCTCCCAGCCCCAGTGGAACTGTCTGTGAAAACAAAACAAAACCACAAATAAATACATACACATATGTATGGTTTCCATTACCACAAAACAATATTTATAATACGCCACTAGTCAGCAAAACACTCCATTTAGCCAGTGGAACTATTGAGCCTCAACTCTAGCAAATGAAGCTACTCTGCTAAATGTTGTGAGAAAACTATGAATTTAGGTTTTTTTGTTTGTTTGTTTTGTTTTTTTTAAACTATGTAATTGCTACAGTTGGTGTTTCAGCTGAAAAGATTATTGTGGTGAAAACAGGAAAAGAAACAAACAGGGAAGGAATGCTCACCTGTATCTGAAGATCTAGGTTCACAGGAAAGACTCCACAGAAGAGGGATCTCAGAAAGAGACCCCTCCTCAGTGGGGCTCAGTCCTTAAATGGGGTCTAGGAGGGGTGGAGCCAGGCTCCATTCCTTCTGGTCACACAGCTGAATTGCCTTCACCTGTGCTCCCAGGGCTGACTCAGCCCTTTCCTCAGGTGATGAATCAGTGGTTCAGGCCATGACTCAACAGTTCCCATACAGTAATTAACTGAAGTACTTTGAACATATCTGTAATATTTCTAACTCCAGTAGTGGCTGCTATGGCTGGCTGTCAATAAGTTTACGAAAGTTAAATGGACCACTAAAACTGCACAACAGGTAGTCAGAAATGTCTCTCTCCAACAGATGAAGCACCATACTTTTATTCATTTATATTTGCTTAATTCTCATTTGTGCAAGGTTAGTTATTGTTAGTCAGCACCTTCCTGTGCTCCCCTTTAACTCTGGTGTTTTCTGATATAGCCAATGATAAGTAATTGCTGTTCACATAAGGCCAAACTCTTTGCCCCAGAAGTACAGAGCAAAGAGACTGTGGAAGCGCTTTCAAATCCCTTAGATGTATCTCTGTGGCATGATATAAAATATTAAAAACAAACAAACAAAAACAACAACAAAAACAACAACAAAACCCAAACCTAGCAAACAAAAAAGCTCTCCCTTTCCAGACTCTAATTTTCTGCATCAAGCTTAACTTATGAAAAATGTGGTTAAAAAACTGCTAACAATAAAAACAATCGATAAAGAAGACAACTTACTGCATCTGTGCTGAAGAAAGAAAAAAAGAGATTCATAGCTGGTTAGGAGTAACAAAGATTCTCATTCTGGTGGTTTGAATCATAAAGCAGTGCAGAATGAAGAGCATATGTATAATGCATTGTGCAAATGTTTCTAGTGCATGTTCAAAGAATGTGTGAAAACATCTGAAAATCAATTCTTCCAAAACAAAATTTGACCAGCATTCTACTAAAAAATATTTTGAAATCTCTACAAAAATCTCATGCACATGTAAAAGCAATGCTCTGAATGTATGACACATCCTCGTGTAAGGGGTAGGTGAACCAAACAAACATTGGAGGGATTATTTTTCTTGCTGATTTTGCACGACTAGCAGCACAAAATGTGAAGATATTCAGTGCCGCCAATGAAGTTGTCCCAGCATTTTCAGATAGAATCTCCCTTTTTTGTACAGACAAGCGTTTGCCAAGGTAAGTGATATGGATCTGGTAGCTAAGAATTCCCTGAAAAGTAGGTCCCAGTACCTTCAGAGTTGAGAGTAATGCCAAGAATGCTGAGCAAGGCAAAGTATCTCAAGCAAAGTATGCTAGAAATCCTGTCTGGCAAGATTCATGCGAAAAAACCTATTTTTTGTTAGCTGATATTTCTGTGCACCTCAGACAATCAGGGCAAAGTATTGTGGGCTTGGTGTTACCGAATAAATCATTGAGCTACAGAGAAACATCACTCCTATTCTGTTAGTGTGACCTACTTTTTTAGTTTTAATCTTGAAGTTAGGTAACCTATATCACAGACTACCTAAAAGCAATCCAGCCTGTTTTTACAGCTCTATTGCAGCTTTTGCAGACATATTCCAAGAAAATGTTCTTTTTTTCACATATTACTATACATCAGAAGGTTACATCTGGAAGAGAAGGAAAACTGAAGATATTCTGAGATAAAACTATTTAATGTTATCAGAATATATAACTGTTTGTGTGTGGCCTTGAAATTAACTTATTAATTCAAATAATTTTTGTGTTCAAACAATGCAAATGTTTTAATAGTAGAGAGTCTGAAAGTCAGAAACACAAGACAATATCGGAGCTAAAAGACTTTTTCTTTGCACTTGATTCTCGTGCTCATCCTCCTTAATTAGCACTTGAAAGCACATAACTGGCTCCTTTCAAAGTGAATCACAGCCAGACTGGCTCCAACTAACCTTCTGCTATCCCCCCCCCCTCCCCCAGTCAGTAGTAGAACAGCTGAAGTGAAACTCTCAGTCCTATGAATTCAAGACTATCAGAGCTACCAAAAGCAGGATAAAATTTTGTGACCCTTTGTTCCAGTTCTGGCCTCTTTTCCTGAGAACAGTTATTTAAATGACAAACATAACATACTGACATATATAAATTAAGTAAAACGAGTCTAACAAACAGATAAATCCGATTACTGCGCAATATATAAAGAACAACCTGAAGACTTTTTGGAAGTCTATTTTGGAAAAGCTCCATTACCCTAAGAGATGAAACAGGAAACAAACCAGCCCCAAAGTACAGTGTTGATGCAACTAGAACTCTTTGATCAAAATTAATACTTGAAGAGAAGCCAATACCATAATGAACATCCTTTCACTGCAGGGGGAAATCGCATACAACAACCTTGCATGTGGCTTCCTTTGAGTGACATTCAGACAGCATAACCTCAGTAAGAACTCTTAGAGATCTGAACATTGCAGTCCATAGAGAGATCAGACTTCATATGCACACAACTTCTGCTGCCATGAGCGGCGGGACATGGCTTTAAGAATGGATGCAGGGTTTCACAGTCAAACCCTCCAGAAACAGCAAGAATTTTGCAGTGAAAATTCCACTGTTTGGAAGAAATCATAACTTTCAGTCTCTCAGCTAAATATCTCCATTGTCTGCATGAAGGAAGCATTTCTTCCCTCTTTTTTGACATTGCTAGATTGCATAATAAAAAAATGCATTTGGGAAAACTAGTTTCATCATTTCACTTCTGCTTAAATGTAAACAAAATGCATTCCTTAAACAGAATTTCTGCTAAAAGACTCCTTTGTAAAACTCAATCAAAGTATACGCACTGCTTCCTTGTTCCTGATGACAATGACTGGAAAAGCCCCTATTTCTTGAGCATCTCTAGCCAGTAAGTATAAAAAATTTATATATTAGTAGTCCCTTCATTCTGGTCTCAATCTTCTTCCTCTGTACCCACGGTTTTCATTTCTGGATACTTTGATCATTTACACTATTTTGCTCAGTGCTACATCCTTCTGGAATCTTGTGCAATTTACACTACTCTACATCAAACTGGAACAAACTCTAGTTTACACAGACTATAAATTTCTCCTGTAAGGTCTAGATCATGATATGCAGTAGGGCTTCTTTCCCGGGAAACCACAGTGTAAGGAAAGAGAAGAACCAGGCACTCATTAGCATCTTCCCCTAGCAAAGAAGCAGTGCACAACAGCAGTGCTGCCCAACTCTTGTCAGTGCTCCTGCACAACTGGTTTACACATGGCCCTTTAGACCAGTTTTCATTTCAAGTGTCCCTCCAGACAGGCTGCCATGGTTAAGTTTGAAGTCTGAACAATGAAGGCTGGATTTTTAAAACACTTTCCAATTTTGAGAACATACTAGGTGAAATCAGGTGAAAGTCCTTCACATAAATTTAAGCCACAGATTTATAGTAATGCACAAAAGCAAAAAGTGTTTGATTTTCACTGTTTTCCATTAGTTTGCCTTTCACATGTTCATTTCATAAAACTGAACACTGAATAAATATTTTTGAACTGATTTTAACAAATACTTAGGCAAATCAAGTATCACTAGTGCCCTCCTAGAATTTGTGAGCAGCTGCTTACTAGTTTGTTCAAAAATTCTTAGGTAAACAAAACTTTAGTTATACGTATTCTTTAGTGATACATCATTATATCAGAATGAGAAACCAGTACAGCAGCTAAGTTGAAACATGCTCAGGGTTTTTCACTCCAAAACATCTCCATAAGTTACTCACAAATAATGAAGTAGTCCCTTCAACTTAAGAACTGCTTTTATCATTGCAGCAATATTCTAATAGCAAAAATCACTCTGCATACATAGAGCTGGACTGTGACTGGCTGTCAAAAAAATCCTAAAACAATTTATCATCCAAACATTTGCTACCCCTAGTATGCAGCTGTGAGTTGCACATTTTTAAGTGTTTTGGATCAACAGGGACTATCCACCTACAGCAGCATTACATACAACATCTGCCTTACTATTTCATTTTTACATTAACCTCAAACCTTTGGGGATGCAAGACTGATATGCTACTACACAGACTCAGAAGTCTTCTCCTCTAGAGAAGTTTCAACATCTGCTTCAATTACAGAGAATATGATGAACGCCCAAAATAGCACAATTATCAAAAAAAGCCCACTCACAGACTATTAGATTCCTCAGAGGGGAAAAAAGATTCTCCGCTATGACATTTGAAAGCCCAAACTCAGAAACAAGAGCCTTCCTTGAATAACTCATTTATTTTTAATTTCCCTCTGCAGAGGCAGACAATTAGAAGAGTCTGAGGCAAAGGAAGATGCTGTATCAATGGAAATTCACCTTCCTAAAAACTACAAGGGATAATTACAGATTCACTTTGAAGCTGAGGATTCACTCTCGGCTCCAGGGGTTATTTTGCGGAATGGAACACCCATATACAATCGACATTAACGAAACATCAGTAAAGCTGATCAGCATAACCATTTCCAATTGTTTAATGAATTTCAGGAACAGAGGCACTTGTTACTGCTCAGAGAAAGATGCACATGGGAAAGAAACCTGGCAAAGAAGCACTGAGATGAGACAATTCCACAGACATTTCAAGAGAAGCATAAAGACGACCGCTGTTTGATTCTCTTTCATTCTCTAAATAAAAGATTTTGTAT